CTACTGGCTCGTTTTTTGTTTTGTTTTTGTTTTTTACAGGAGGACGGTCTCGCCATTATTCGCCACCACTTCAGAAGTGTCTGGTTTGCGGCCAATCACAGAGCAGGCTTTCTTGATCAGGTTATTCAGTCTTTGTGTCATCGGTTCCGATGCTGCTCTCCCAGCAGACTACAGGCAATTACTGGCAGAGTACATCCTGCTGCACATGTTGAAGGATGTCAGCGTCCTCAGGAAATAGAGCCTTGGTCTTGGTCTGCTGTCAATGTGTAGGTACTTGTAGTTATAAGTTCCAAGTTGTTTCTTTATTAAACTTTTTAATGGTTTAGATAAGCTTTTAAAAGCTTTAAGGACTTGATTGACTGATTAGCATCTAGCTGTTCAAAGCTGAGCATCAACTGTGCCATGACACGAGCTGTTATAACAATCCTTATGATAATTAATATATTTTAGACATGGCACATTGAAAGTATTCCAACATTAAAACCTGGTAAATATTACATCCAGTTTTGAAGTTTTTTCAAAAGACAGTTTAAATGGTTTGTAATGTTCTCTCTGCTGACATGAAAAGCAGAAATGATATTACTGGCTGTCAAGTGCTCGGCATGTGTGACTGCACGTGCGCTGACTGAGTGAAAGTGATAGTGACCAAGTGCCATTCACCTGTCTGTTCCATGTGTCTTTACGAGAATACTGTCCATATGTGTTCAGGCTTGTTTGTCATCTGCCTCTGATGATTGAGTGCGTTCACTGGGGGACAGAGGGATTGTGGGAGGGCAAAACGTAGAGCCTTCCGCTGCTGTTTATTCCCACTGCCTCTCGTCTTCTTTAAAAGCGTGCGATTGTGAACAGAAGAGGAAGCTGGAGGAAATCATGTCGCCAAGCAGCTGTTTTGATAGACAGTGTTTACCTGCGGCGAACACCATGTGCATGTGCGCATGCATGCCTGTGTGTGTTGGATGTGTGTGCGCTTGTGCAGCTGTGTTTATGTGTGGTGTGGGTTCACACAAAGTTTAATATGCCGGTTGTTCCATTTCATTGTATTGTTCTAAAAGTCCTCATGATTACTTTATCCTCCATTTACTACATGATTCTTGTAAAGTGTGACATGAGCTGTCGGTGATGGTGTCTCCAGGCGGGTTCTGGTGGGACAAACCAAGTCAAAAGCCCAGGGCCAATTTTTCTTCCCACTCTTCTTCACTCTTCGTTTGTTGATGTTGTTTGGCCTTGGTGGAGCTCTGAGCTCTACATTTATTTGTTTTTGGCGCATAACATTAACACCAAGAAAATGTCTGACGAGCTGAAAGTCATTCTCTCCCTTATTATCAAACGTAACCTTACAGATAAAGTGCTGATGATAGTCTCGTATGCTTTGCTCAGATATGGTAATGCAGTGTTCGGATGGCATGCAGCAAATGATAGAACGCTCAGTACAATGGAGAACCAACAAAGTTGCACTTAATAACAAATCTTTTCTCTCGGCAGCATCTGACAACAGCTCAGTTGTTTCATTCCAGCTTTAATTTTAAACTTTGGATTTGGCTCCAGTGTATTGATTTAAGTGTGAGATAAAATAAGAGCATGACAAGGACAACTATCTTTGATTTCCCCTCTCTTGTTTAGTCCTGTTTTTCTATTTCAATGATAATTCAATTATTCAAGTATTTGCAGTCTGTGTGTGTGTGTGTGTGTGTGTGTGTGTGCGTGTGTGTGTGTGAGTGTGCGTGTGCGTGTGAGTGAACGCTTGCATGGATGTGTGTGCCTGCCTGCGTGCGTGTGTGTTTGATTGTGTGAATGAAAACACAACACATGCTCTTCCTGTCTAATCCACGGAAAAGCAAACACAGTCAGCCATGTGAATGTTTAACTGTATGTGGAAACGGTTTGTGTGTCCTGCAAACTGGACAGATACTGACGGGCCCTGCAAAACATTTGATTACGTGTCTGTCTGTCTGTCTGTCTGTCTGTCTGTCTGTCTGTCTGTCTGTCTGTCTGTCTGTCTGTCTGTCTGCAGGCAAATAACAAATGCTTTGTGTATCTCGACTGTTTAAGTCTGCATGGAGAAATATAGATGTAAAGGAGTGAGTCAAACCTGTATATTAAAAATGACAGATTCCACTGATCGCCTTCAGCACCCCCTAGTGCCAAATGTACAGAGAGGTCAGAGGTCAGAGCCAATGAGAGCACTTGAAAACACCTAGTATATATTCTGGCCCTGGTCTCTGTGCTGTGAAGGCCGCCATCCAGGGGCAGAGTGGTGATAAAAACCGGCCTGGGTCCTTTGACTCAGACTGGCCCACAAGAACCCACCATCACATCCAGCCCATGTCACTATCTACCAGAATTATGCAGCAAACAGAGTAAACAGAGCAACTCTGATGATTTGTACAACAATGCATGAAATAGTAAAACCTGCTACTTTATTCATTAAAAGAAAGGTTTCAAGTGAATATAACCCAAGCAGTGATTATGTTACCGTAGGATCCAGGGCCTGTGAATCTTCTTGGCAGCTGTTCTGTAGATTGCATAAAGGGTCCAGAGGGCTGGAACATTTAAATTCATCAACACAGACTGTCTGTCTATCAGACGCCCACAGTGAAACAAGTTTTGGTGACTGTAATTATTCCTCTAGTTCATACTGGTTATAAAAGGTCCCTTTCCTACAGTAGTTAAACAGTAAAGACCTAGCCTATTTAAGTGAACCTTAAATCATTCCACCTCAAGATGAGGCCGCCTCACTACAGTTCATTCTCTCTGTGAGAAGCAGCAGCTAAAATTCAGTTCAAAACGCTGATTTAAAGGTTCAGAGTGATGCAAGCTGCTGCTGCTGCTTCCTCACCAAGAACGACTTCCTCGCAACTGAAGAGCTTCGTCTTTCACTGTGTGGACCCCAGAAAAATGAGCAGCAGGATACATCTCACAAGACTGTCTTTATTTATCTTTTTCTTTTACCATTCATTCATAGCATTTACCATTAAATTGAAAAAGTGTCAAAAGGGTTCAGGTGCCTCTGATGTTTAGGGATTTAAATTTAGGACAATGAGATTTTTTTTTAAATTTCTTGACAAATTAATTATAATCTCTTAAATGCTGAGTTTTTCACATTATTTTTTCATTATTCTTATTATGAACAGATATTTATCTATGTTCCTTTCTTTTATTCACCCGACATGCGGCAAAGAGAAATTATCTGGAGAGACAGTACCTGATATTTTTGGGCCACTCAGGGCAGCATAAACAAGCTACAAAAACATACCTGGAGCAACATTAGCATTTATATTTGGAATTGTCCAACAGGCAGATTAATATCCAATATTTAATCAATCTCTGTGGTCCCTGCGAACTCCTGAGGGAAATACTGGGCTGTGTGTCGGTCCCTTGGTGCTGTGCAGGTAGTGTACAGCAGGTTTATCAGAACTAGAGCCAAAAATAACAAAGAAAGCAAAAAGACTGAAACCAAATCAGTAAAGTTGTAGGGCAGGAAACCAAAACAATGAGCTGAAAGATGCTAAAAAAAAAGCTCTCTTGATTTTAGTGTAAATGCAGAGTCAGCTCAAAATTATCATCAGATTTGTCACTATATGAGCAATTCCCTTTACATCCAAGAAGTCATGTGACCTATTGTTAATATGAAGCACATTGATTATCTGATGTTATTCCTTTTGCTGTCCCTTCAAGCACATATATAAGAATGAAAAGAGTCTATAAAGAGCCTTGGAGAACGGCCCCTGATAATGCAGAGAGCTTGATCCACAATAACAACTGAAAAAACCAGTGAGTGGATTTTTTTTTTCCTTCTGCTGGGATGTATAGAGTACAACTGAAGCAAGTGAGAGGAAAGGCAAGACGGAGGAGAGAGTCTCAATTACAGCCGTAATCTTCACCTGCTGGCTGGATGTCATGCCCGTTATATTTTACATGATAAAGTTCTCGGCTCCGACATCGTGCCGGCTGATGACCGGACAGTATGCTCGGTCAGGGAGCTGTGAGGCTTTAAACGCTCTCTCCATTTCTGCCTCCACATGGGGCGTCTTCTACTTAACTGATCGACTCCAAACAAACAGTGGGGGGGGGGAGGAGAGGAAGAGAGTAGAAAGGGGAAGGAAAGAATGGAAAAGATGGGAAAAGAGCAGAGGAGAAGACATTACAAAGACTGAAGGACAGCAGATGGTGGAGGAGAGGAAGGTTTCAGGATTAGGGTGCAAGTGAGAGGAAAGGACTGAAGGATTAAAATAGAGGAGGAGTTGAGCAGAAAGAGGAATGAAGAGGAAAAGTAAAGAGAAGAGGAGGGAGGAAGAGCTGTGACTTGGTAATGAGATAACAGGAAATAAAGAGAAAAGTGCAGTCAAGAAAATTGAAATTGAAGTGGGGAAAAAACAGCATGAAAAGAGAGTGGAGTGAAGGAGGGAAGGGAACAGAGATGCAGGGAGAAGACGAGGAGAAAGAAGAGGAAGGAGAAAAGTCTCAACTGTACACTGAATTAAATGATCTGGCTACAAATGGAAAAGCATGTTCACACGATAACAATGATTAATGATGACAAACATTGTAAAAAGACTAGAAACATCAATAATCTACATTATTGTCCAGTGTTGGTTCCCTTATTAAAAAGTGGTTAACAAGAGTTCCTGCAGGCTTTATTTACACGGTCATAGGTTGAGCTGTTTTTCGACTTGATGCCAATAAATGTACTGATTGAACAGATGTAATTTGCTAATTCGCTTTCTCCTCCTCACAGCACAAGGCCGTTTTCAGCCAGCAGATGTCACTCCAGAGCGACACACTACCGATTTACTACCGAGGAGAAAACTAATGCAGGAAGAAACTAAATCCTGCACGTCACCATGTGAAGCTGCAGGTACAGAAGATGAAGCTTTGGGGTCATTACTGGGTGAGCAGAAAGGAACTGCCCGTGTGAAATATCTAATAACTGACTCTAACCCAAGTAACTGAAGTGTGAAATACATTTCCCAGAATGCAATGAGCAGGGTTTAGAGGTTATTTGGACGTGTGTAGGTTCTCCGCAGCAAACGCGCCCCATCTTTCACTAACAAACAAGAACTTTGCACTTAATGTTGCGCAATATTCGCTCTCTTGCACAGACATAGGTGGGTGCTGGTGGTCCGCCACTGTTCACTCGGTTGTGCATGAGCGACTGCGACACGGCCGCTGTGCGGAACAATAATCCCGCTACAAACAGTCACCGTGTGCCGCTGGACTGCTGCGGAGGACTCAACAACGTGGACTACTCCAAGGTAAAAAAAACTACAAGTGTTAAAACACGAAGCTGTCGTGTTGCATCTCCGACTTTAACACGTCTAGGCTGCAACAGCTGGTCACTGAAGCTGCGGGTCGCGGTTTGACGGAGTAAACCAGTCTGCCTCGCTGCCGCGCTCGTGACAGCCGGAAACTCAGTCTTTTATTTTCCAAAATAAAAGCATGTTCTGCTAATTCAGAGCGCACATACAGAAGCAGTACAATACAACTCCCAACTAAAGACAATATAGAAGTAGCTGTTTTATTTCAATATAAAAGCATGATAAAATTTATGGATGGAAACATCAAATATTTGTTCAATTGACAAAACAGTTGCTGATTGATTTTCTGTATATCAACTAATCAAGTAATTGAGAATTCATTGCAGTTTTACTCATCTTTTTAACAGAAATTTAAAACAAGCAGGGTAATGTTATTCTTTTCTTTGACGACAAAAACTAAACCACCAAACACAATCAACAGACACAAAATCTTTTAATATATTTTATGTGGTATTTTTTAAATATATATTTTTAGGCTTTATTAGGCATTAGGCTTTTTTTTCTCATCCTTTAGGTGTAAAATGAGAAAGATGCTCAAATCTGAAATCTATCTTGCTATTCCACCTCCTCTGGCCTGCAGCAGTTCACACTGAGCAGTGGAAACGTCCTTATTCCACTCAGTTACTTGCATGCTTCTTACTCAAGGTCAGAACGCTCATTAAACGCAACACGGTTACTGTGTCCGCCTGTATCGCTTAAAAAAAAAAGATGAGAGAAACTGATCTGAGGCCAGAACCCCGGACAGCACCCCAGAGGCAGTTCAGATGGCGGCCTATAATTGACGCACACAATTAAATAACATGCTAAATAGGTTTACAGTAATAGACCCATTGCTCATATAGCCGTTGTAGATGATATGTGATACCAGTCACTTAATACAGCACTGCCCCCCCCCCACACACACACACACACACACACACTTTATATTATCTTTGTCTTGAAAGTCCACTGAAAGTTGAGAAATCTCACTGAGGTTTAGACATCAAGTAACCTTCCAATCTCCACAGATACACTATCATCACTTTGTGCAATGCAGCAGTAAAACCCTTGTTTTGAAATATTAATGCAAGGATTTTCATTGCCACCAGTTGCAATAAGTCAATTTACTTATTTACTACTTACTACTTTATTTCGGTGATATAAATGTAGCCGTTTGTTCACTTTGGTTAAAGATGGCCTGTTTCTTTAAATTGCATTTTCGATCTGATGACATTAACCGTGGTATGAAAATGACTTCTTGCATCTTGTTTTATATAGATAGAAATGAAAGCGTGCTGGTTAATGGAAAAAACTGGATAAATTAATGAAAGAAAATTACATCTTCATTGGCGATGCGCTATTGCAACCATCAAAAAAATAATATAGCCCAGTACCTGTTGCACTTTGTTTTTGTCTAGAAAGGAAAACCCTCGCTTAGTAACCAATAATAATTAGTAAAATCAATAACAATTATAATAATAATGATTACAGTAAAGTTCATTGTTGTAGTTTCTGCTAAAGTTATGGTATTCACAATAAAGCAGGTTTATTTTCCTGGTCTCAGCTCTTCATAACTGAATGTAAAGGATCTTTATGATAAAAGCTTGTTTATCTTGTGCATTTCTGTTAAGAATTGACCAATGGTTAATGTATTGGTATCAAATTTTTAAAACTCTCAAATATTGAAATTGGCATCAGTGTTAAAAATCTATTTTCAGTCAGGCTCTTGTAATGTAGACCTTTCCTCTAGCAATACCATAAGGATAAAATATCAACTTTACACACCCAGTCTTTTATTCAATAAGCCCTATGGGTTTTCTACAGCACTGCCCACTGGAAAAACAATAGTTCTCTATCAGTTAAATATAAAAACTTATTATGAAACTTTCAAATTGTAAGATGACTTGAAATTCTTCTTGTTGTTGCTGTATTGCCCCTCTGGTTCCATCACTTTGATATAAAATACATAAAACACCCAAAGCAAACTGAGGGCATGGGTGTAAAAGACACACTTTGTTGCTGTTTATCTCTGGCGTCAGTATAAACTGAAAAACCACACAGAGCGCCCGAGTGTGTGGCAGTGAGGGTAAATCCGTCTGTGATGCTCCACCTCACATCGGTCTAAATGATTCATTTTAACGCCTCACTTCGCTTTTTAAAAAGCCACATGTTGCTTGTCATCAGTTTTTCGCGTGTTCACAATGAAAAAAACTGTGTGAAAGCTTGTCACTGTGATTTGATACTGCAGTAAAAGGGTAGTATTATTAAACAGTAATTTGTCACGGCAGACGCTAGTCAAAAACACATTGGTAAAATTAGAGCAAATGTTGTGTAAGTCCAAAACCGGCTAGGTTGAAAACTAACGGGGGGGGGGGGGGGGGGGGGGGGGGCACGCTGAAGAACGAGAAGATGTATCTGTATCTGCTGCTTTCTGTCATTCACCATCTGAACTGCAGCGAATCTGGGAATAACAGAACATGGAAAAGTAACAGAAAGATGTTTGAGATTGAAACATGTACAAAATAAAAATAAAAAATGAGCAGATCAGTGGTGTTTCAATCCAACTGTATTTGCTCATTTTCAATTAACAAAATTGCAAAAGGTGGAAAAGTGACTGAAACATCGGCTGAAGGTTCCTCTCCCCCTGAAGAGACAGAAAATCGCAACAGCTGTAAACATTAGATCTGTGGATGATTTTCTATAAATTCTGTGCAAATTTGCCAAAAATTTGGTCGTAAATCTGTTTCCAGCTGTGGAATTATAGGCCATCCATCTTTAAATGAAACAATGTTTTTTATGTTTTTGTGTGTGTTTTCCATTTTCCTCACAACCGTATTCTCCACGTGGTCGTCTCTCTCTCAGATGGACTTGACGCTGATGGAAGAACTACGAAAACACGTCGACTTTCGCGACTCCAGCTTTTGCATCGCTGTGATCGCCATCGTTTTCAACCCTCTCTTCTGGAATGTGGTAAGAACGTACTGTAGATATCAAAGCTCCAAAGTAATCTTGTTTAACCGTCTCTGTACTTAACTTCATGCAGCCAGACCTTTTGTCTGGTCAAGCTCACTCAGGTCTCGAGAATATCAGGTTAAGAAATTTAGGAAATTTAGTTATGGGGAAATTCTGTGATTGAATGGCTGGAAATTTCAGAAACAGTATCGCTTATTGGATTTTGGTAGGGTACAACAAGTTCTGTGGTATAAATGTATTGAAGTGTAAAAGCAGCCTAGTGTGTCTCTGCCCTTTCAACTCAACGTTGTTGACTGAATTTCTCTGGAGACTTCTGTGAGCTCGTTGATACACAAGTCTGACGCCGAAGTATTTTCAGCCCAATTTAAGAACCTTTTCTGACATGATGTTCTGAGAAACAGCAGCTCTCCTGATGTTTTCCACGACGAATCGCTGTTTGTGTTTACCACAATAAGTTACATCATAAATCATCGGCAGCTCTAATTTTGGCTTGACAAGGGGAACACAATTTTGCTCTGGGTGGGAAGCCAGTGAGGGATAATGTCTGCGCTGCATTACAAAGTCTGACTAGTTGGCTGGGGCACCGTCACAAGTTGTTTATCAGTCTTGCCGAAGCCCCTCGCCAGTTGTGTGCATAGGGCATGTGTAGAAATGCAACAGAAATGATGCAACACTTGCTCTTTGGCTAGTAATTTGGTTAATGCAGTGGAAGGAGCCACTGGGAACTTAAAAGTGTGTGTCTGTCCACAGATAGTCTGTCTTTGTCTAATCAAGGCAAGCTGTCCCAACAGTGTCACTGAGCTTGATAAAAACTGCCCTAATCACATAGAGTTGCCTTTTACAGACAGGATATCTCAGATATGTTTAAATGTCTATCATCACCGGGGCCGATTATAGTTAATATCTAATCGACTTCACATCACATAATCTTGCCCCTCAGCACCAGACCGTAAATAACGTTGGTGTTTTCGGTTGCGTTGATTACACTGCGCTGTAAAAGAGTCACTCCTGAGGTGTCCTTCTCACAAAGACATGGAAAGAAACTGCTCTTTCATGTCCCTCCAGAAATGCTCCAGACTTTAATCATACACTTTGAAGTCACATTGTTCATCATAGATGTAGTTTAGTGAGTGAATCATGCACTTCAGTCTAATTATGCTTGAAGCTTTACGTAATACAGCAGATAAGGTAAAGCGCTCATATTAGGAAAAAATCCACATTCTTTACGAGGCACTCGTGTTGTTCCACATGCTCGATTAATTGTCATGTAGTTGCTAATAAATAAGTGTACAAGTTCAACTCACAGCACAAATGCATCAAAGAATAAAAGTGAATAGAAAACCGAAATTCACAAGAGCTTCGCAGATATGCTGCAATTGAATAATTGAGTGATCTGTCAGTGTCCTGTTGCTTATTACGACGTTAATTGCTTTTCATAACTATCTCCTGTTGTCCAGGTCAGATAAAAATTGCCCGGCCCTGTAGGATCATCGGCTGCGATCAGCCCAGATTACTCGCTGCTTTTGAAATTACTCTTCGCTGCTTCAGCAGGTGCATGTGCTTCGTTTCCAGATTGTCTGTTAACTGCTCACCTGCGCGGCCCAGCAGGACACGTCATTATACAGAGGGGGCTCTCGAGTCACAGAAGAGAAGCCAATTATTTGTCTCTGAGGTGCCTTCAGCATTTTTTTTTTTTTTTTTTTTTTTGCCATTCCAGTGGAAGATAAACTGTAAGTGGAAAATGGCGTTAGGACTGATGGGACTTTACCTAGAAAGACGGGTATTAAAAGATCTTTTCATCTTGTCTGTTTGAGGTCCCAGGTTGTATTCCTGCAAGGTGGGAGTATCGGGGGCTGCGCCTTGTAGCCCAGTTACTTCTAATATATCTGAACACATGTCTGACACATGTGATGGCAACTGCTGATTTTGAGAAGTATATTTCATTAGAGCGCTAACTTGCACCTTTCGTTCCCGTACACCCGGTCCAAGGAACATTTTTATTTACACTGATGACGCTTTGATGAAAGGTAGTGGTGAAGTCACGCTGGTCGCACTGCGTGTGCTGCGTGCGCTGTGCTGGTACCTCACTCCTGATAGCCCTGAAGGTTTAGCATGTAAGTGCTAATGCTGCTGGAATATTTCAACTTGAATCGAAGAATGAACTTTTCTTTTTTTTCCAGTTTCTGTCAAACCAAAGCGGTCAGCTTAAAAGATGTGAAAAAGCGTCGGAGAGCTGAGAGCTGATCCTCTGTGGGTTCATCGCTATGAGAAACAACTTTCACATTACACATTGTTAATATGAAAATGAAAACCAGTGCAGCTTTAAACTTGCATTAACTGTTTTTTTTTGGTCATTTAGAAACAACAAACACTGTTTTATCATCTTTGAGAGTGAACTTTATTGTGAACAGGTACTTCATTTAAACATAAGCAGACACACGGCAACATTATCATCAATTTTGAGTAGTTTTCCTGCTCACCTTCTGCATGTAAATCCAATATTCCCTCCCACATTAGCTCTGTTTGATATCCACCAACTCCTGACTCCTTTGGCTCTTTAGCTAAATGCTTCAGTCGGCTTCCCCAGCAAGACCAAAATAGCCAACCCCTATTATTTTCTATCTACAACCTCTACACCTGCCGATAGCTAGGCACATGCTGGCTTGTATTGACACGCTGCCCAGCGACACTTTGCACGACTGTCCTATTTCCAGCCTCTCTGCCCCTGAAACAAACACCTTCTTTCTTTTTTTTTTTCTCCAGAGAAAAGGCGGTTTTGTATTTCCTGTCTTCCCCCTTTTCCTCATCTCTTGCTGTGACTGTCACTGTCTCTCATGTGTGTGCGACGGCTGGGGAGAGAGTACTTGTTGAGGTTGAGAATTGTTATAACAAAGACAATGGCGAAAAAAGATGATGCCTTGGTGAACCGTGCTCCGGAGATCGGCTCCTCAGGTGAGAAGAGCAGTGGGTCTCCTCACCTGATTTTAAGTTAATGTCTCCACGTCTTTATGGTAGACATTTCATTTGTATGTCATGATCAGTGGTCCTGTTGGAGTGCTGTAGCGCGACACGACACCGGTTGCCAGTCTCCCGCTGAACCAAAACATTAAAGTTGCAGGCTGCAAAACCAAAACGCTGAGCTGAAAGACGCTAAAACTCTCCGATGTGCTGAAGTTCAACTACAATATCATGTGATAATTTGTTGTCCATAGTTCATTGTGTATATAAAAATACAAATTTGGTGCAGCTTTAATATTCACCATTGGGAGTGTGTTTGTTTTTGTTTTTGACATTGAAGATGAAATATGAAAAATATTACCAGATTAATCAGTAATAAATAATTGTTAGTTGCAGCTTTGGTGGCAACAGGAACTCGACAAGCAATAAACTTTTAGCAATGACAGTCCTTTAAGAATTTATGCTAACAACTTGCTTCTCAAGGACACTGCAGTAATTTGAAAGTTCTGATTTAAATTCAGACTTCCTCAAAGCCGCCCGCCCATTTATCTCTTTGAATTGAGGTAGTGTCTTGCATTTCTACATCACTGTTTAGTGTCTGGAGCTGCTTAATCTTTTCAGTCACGTTTTCCCTTCCCCAGTCACGTATAAGGCTACGGTCTCCTTCTTTTTTTTTTTTCTTTTTGCTGGCGCTGCATAAAGCCTATGAATTATCTTTTACATCTTTCCTTGACCTCGTGATGCTTTTCACTGAGGTAAAGGGAAAAGTGGTTAAGGATTCTTTGACTTTCAAATGTAGCCAAAGACCGGCGAGTGAGGCCGAAGCTTCCTGTCTTTCTTTAACGCTTGCAGGGAGCAGTTTGAGGTGAAACCTGCCCTGATAGAAGTGCTCACCCAAAATTAACCAACTAATCTTTTATTCTGGTGTTTTTGCGAGTTCGACACATTCTGCCTGCAGGAAATATTTGCAAGTCTTAACACCGACAAAAGCGTTTCTCCCACCCACTCACCTTTTGATATGTTACCAAACTAACTGCCAGCCATATAAATTGAAGCATTACAATCTTAATCAGTGTGACAAGCTCACCTGAGTACTGTGACAAAGTTTGGCTTTGAGCTTTAAGCAGTGCAGGTGAATTGACTCGACTCAATTCAGCTTGACTCAGCTCTTCATGCTCGTCCTGAGCTGCAGCCAGTAAGGCTGGAAGCTTCAGGGCCATGTGCTTGTAACAGGAGATGGTTGATATGACCGTGGAAGCTCCGGACGCTGTGACCACTGGAGTCTGAACTGAAGATACAGTATAACACAACCCAGTAATTAACCCGGTGGTGCAACATGTATGCAGCTCTTTTATGGAGCAGCATTATGAGACTGTCCTGTAAAAAGAAAAAAGAGCCCATATGTCATCGGTGCAAGCAGCTTATTACAACCAATTATTATTATTTTTTATTGTTTGGCAATCTCTAGCAGTTTAAGGCGGGAGCAAAGGAAGGAAGTGTGAAGTGCGACAAAGTCTGCGTTAGGAGTTGGGAGTGGTTGGCAAAACACGGGACACTGATGTTCTTCTTCTTGAGGCTGAGGCTAAAAGATCACGTTTCATTCTGTAATTCAAACAATTTATTTTGAACAAGTTTTTATGTTTTTATGTTTATGTTTTAAGTTTTTCCCTGTTTTCCGGGGACCATAGCTCAGGTTGTAGCCTCATTTGCATATCATGTAACTCCCACAGTGTCCTTTACCCCAAGGTTGGGAAAGGACAGCGTTTTAACATTTAAATTTACATGTACTCAGACGAAAGTTTATCCAAAGTGACTAACACATGAGGGACAACACTAAAGCTTCAGTGCAGGACGAGACGGGGTGATGATGAGGTAGAGAAGTACATAATGCTCTTGATATATGAAGTGAAATGTGATGGCAGGAGGTAAGTAATGTTAGAGGAGTGTAAAAAAAAAAGGTGATGGTGATAGTATGATTCCATTTTATCCTGATGCGTTTCTTGATCAGTCCTAAATTTTACATGGCGATGTGCGTGATG